ATACTACATAGTAGTTGTTATCTGTGCATTTTTATATCTCTCCCGCTTTCTCTCACATGCTGTGTACGCTTGCGCTTATCTCATTTTTCTCTCTCTCTCTCTTTCTCCCTATCTTGTTTTGTTAATTTTCCATACCCCACCGCTCACACTTTCAACTTGTGTATTTTGGCTTTTTTTTTTACATCCCATTGCCCTCTTTTTTCCTCCCCACATGCTGTCTTGTCGCCCACGTTTCGCTTGTCGTGCGGCGCAGTGTTGCATTTGCTGCATTTTCAAATTTTTAAGTCGAATTTTAAAGTTTCTTTCATAGCGGCCGCCGGCATACTGCGTTGAGTATATTAATGCACGACACGCTTCATGCCCGACAGTCATCGCCGCAGCCGCTGCCAACGTGATTATGCATTCAAAAGTCATTTCCATACACACACGAGCCGCGCGGTGACACACATCGTGCCACACGTTCGCATGTGCATTCGTTTGTACCGCAATATTAATTTGGGTGCAGCAGCGAAACGACTACGTGATTCGTCGTGTGCCTCCACGCTCTCAGCAGCCAGTCGTCCGGCCATCCATCCATCCATCCATCCAAAATGCATGCAGGCTCGCTCGCTCGCCGCCATCGTATGCGTGTCGTAATCAGGCAGTGGGCCATAAGCAAATTTGTTCCGGCTACTCTCCGCTGTGTAAGCCATACACATACATACATACGTGCATACACGTGAAATAGCATTTGCTCCAGTTTATTTTCCCTCGCTAGATTTCAATTCCAGTAGGAAAGGGTGGTTGGTTGACGCTACACAACACAAAGTATGCGACTGCCTTTCCAACGCCAAAAAATGCATAGGTAAAGTGGCGCTTTCTGTGGCGGTAGCCCGGTTGGGTTGCATTCGTTGTCGCCCACGTAGTCCCCAAACTTTCATACATACATACGTACATATGTACATACGTCAATCGGCTTGCGGCATAGGTCGGCGTTCGGCAGTCGGCATCATTCGTGTTGCCAATATTATAACCGACTTTTGTTTGTGTTTTTGTGAATGAAATCGTAATATGACCTTTTACAATTTTATTAATACGCAGACATGCATACACATGCACAACTAACACCTGACACCCAGCAGGCGAGCCGATGCTTTTCGTATTAAACACTCGTCAGCAGCGCAAGAAACGTCAACGTCATACTGAACGTAATAATCGTCGTCATCAAAATTTTTCGTTCTATATTCGTCGTTAATGCACCGAATTCAACTATGACTGAGTGTATTGACATTTCCGCTTCTCGGCTATATGTATACATACGTATTTAGTAATCGCATTCGCGCCGACTATAAAAACAATGAATTCGACCATTATAGTGGGTGCGCGCATTGCGAACAAAGCCTCTTCCTGCTACCTTTTTTTATGCTTTTCGCTGAAATTTAGTTAACGAATTATGTGGCAGGCAATATCATATTTAAGGAACTCACACATTTGTGTACTCGTCACTCGCCGGTTTTAAAGTACGACCGGTCGTTTTCGTTGTAAATGGTTTAGTTGACTGGCTTTTTTTTATTTTTTATTTTACTACAATACTTGCTGATTAATTGGGTGTTCCATGCTCTTGTTTTTCTTCTGTTTTCCTATCCATTGCGTTCTTTTTATCATGGGCTGGGCGCGGTGATTTGCGTAGGCGTTTATGGTGCTATTTGTTTTGCTCAAAATGATTTCCGAGAGCTAGTTATAATTGCGCCTGTTTTTGTTTTGTAGTTGATACGAATTTAAAGCGTTAAATGTTGCAGCAGAAACTAACTTCATTTTCAATTCTGCTACAGAAATCAGTAAGGAAAGTTATGGATATTCTTGCACTAAAGTGATCAGCGTAATTGGGGCTTTGAGGAAAACAATTACTATACTTCTCAACATTGTTGAATGGTGAAGCATGCGCTAAATTTTAGGAGAGGTTGTTGTTGTTGCGGCACTCAACTAACGGCAGGCCCAAGAAACAGGCTTTTTAGACGGGATCGGAACAAAGGAGAACTGGCATGTGAAAAGGTGGTTGGTGTCGTGTGGGGAGTATCCACATGCCGGACACTAATTGGGGATATTGGGGTTGAGTCTGGATAGGTAGCTGATGAGAAGGCTACAATATCCACACCGTAACTGGGCCAGAGTAACGCGGATCTCTCTTGGCAGTTGAAGCTACGAGTCTGTGGTTGGGCTCCGATCACGGCAATCATAGGTCGGAAGTCCTGGTAGGTGGAGACCGATTGCCTATGAATGCCGCTGATCACTCGTCGTTACGTCGTCGGGTCCAGTGGTTGCTCAATGTATGTTCGGACCGCAACCGACTTAATAGCCTTAGCTAAGGCTCAACGTCTTGCTAAAGAACTAATATTACGCCAGCTGTTGAGCGTAATTTGGTGAGAATACTCAGTTCAATCTAACATGTTGAAATAACCGTATTCTCAATGGATCCACTTAGGTCAATGACGATTTAAGGAGCTTATACCCGTGGCACAACATCTATAAAAGCTTTTACAGCAGACTAAATTTTACTTTGACTTCAACTCAGGCCCTTTTAGAACTCTCAAAAAAGTCATGCTAATTCACATATAGAGTGTTATTTAATTCAGAAGGCTGTCAAATGATAAAGTGACCATATTTAAAGAAGGAATAGGGGAATACCTTCAAGAATAAAGGGTGAACATACCAAAACTGCGACACTTAGAAATTACTACCGGAAACAAACTAGAAGGCTTTGAAATTATTTTTTTTTTGTATTATATAACTTGGAAGTTTAGATGTTATTTAAATGATAAAATATTAGTTATTATTTGCTCCATATGCAAGTGATCGGTATTTTCATCGCACACGCGTCATCATGTTCTGCACGACTGCATCATCGACTTTACGCGGTGCCCACAACTACTTTGTTTTGCACTCTTCAATATTTTTTACTGTTTCACCTGTTTTCTTCAAGATTCCTTTGACCATTGACGAATATTCCCCAATAGGACGTAGCTCTGGGCTATTGGGTGGATTGCAGTCGTGAGGTACAAAATTGATGTTATTTGCATTATACCACGGCAATGCGTCCTTGGCATAGTGGCAGCTTGCCATGTCCGCCTAGAACAGTGGCCTACTCCTTATCTGTTGATAAATGACAGAATACGCCTTTTGAGCCACTCATCCCGATAAACTTGATCATTCATTGTCCCGGATGGGCAAAAGGGCTGCTCTTACGGCCACAGGAACAAATAGCTTGCCAAAACATGTGGTTTTTTGGAAATTTGGATTTCATTTTCAGCTTACAACTTTCAGGGGCATCTTGACGACTTGCAGCAGTATAAAAATCTTGACCTGCAATATATTTTGAATTTTTAAAGCAGTAGGTTTCGTAGTCGATAACAATGCAGTTGTATTTTTTAATTTAGAATTCATACAACTTCCGAATTCGGGATTTCGCTGTAACATTCTACTTTGCGCCTCGGTCTGGCGCTGTTTGACCTGTAGAACATCTCAATGAAGCTTTCCGCTTTACCTTTTGTACGAAAAACTGCGATCTCCGTACGGATTTTGCAACATAACGCGACAAAATCTTCGGATCTCGCGAAAACGCACTGAGGACCTTCCGAGCACTGTTTTTATCACTTTGACCATGCTAACACCCGCTCCCTGGTTTTCTACTGCCAGGTCTTATTTGTACCGATTAAAACCCTACAAACTGTCGAATAGCGCAATATTTAATTTTTAGCAATTTTACGTGTACTTAAGGCCGGATCATTTATAAACTCGTGAAAAATGGTTTGTCTCGTTTCTAACTCGGTTGCCATTTTTAACTCAACTAGGAATCAAATTCAAATGAATTTTCTTCTACGTCCAACTAAGGTCATGGTCAACTTATGGTATTTAAATTTCAAAATATTGAAATCTTTTTGGGTAAGTTATAAGCTTCCCAACATGTCGCAGTTTTGGTGTGTTCACCCTTTAAGCTCTAAATGTCTTTTACTATTAAACATACGTTTTGCGAAATTAGTCTCTGAAAGAAAAATATAAGGTATATTATTTTAGTTTTAAACAAAAATTACGAAAACTTTGCTTTTGCTTTTTTTGCCGTTGCCGCTGACCACGGCGATAGAAATAAATCTATCGTCGCGAAAAGTCGTCGAGCGAACTTCGTCGTTTGCTTTGGTTGTGCGCGTTCTCATATACATCAGTGTGTTTTAGTTTTTACAGCGAACGTTCGCGGCGAGAAATTCGCCGTTCGCCGGCATTGTGTTTCAATGGTTACATAGCGGTCAGTCTAGAAGGCGCCGACGAACTTACTTGTAAGTAAGTCTATCAAATAAGTGCGAAATGTACCTGTTTTACCGATGAAAGATCAAAAACCACTTTCGAAGGCAGCGGCATTTTCTTCAGGGATTTTCTTGATGCCTGGCTATCAGTTAAAATACTGCACTATCCTCACCCTATCGTGTAAGCTTCAACTGAAGATTAGATACCTTTTCCATAAAGAACACACCATTAAATTTCTAGTACGTAGAAAAAAGTTGGCCCTTTTACCGCCAAGTACGTCCATGCAACAATTTAGGCGTATAAAGCCATATCTCTCATCATCTTGGAGCGCAGAGTACACAACCCTGGGTATTTCCGAGAGAATAGTGCATGGTAGATTTAGCTCTAAGGCATCACGACGGCGTTATCGCCTACCCTTAATCCTTAATCGATTCATCTATGTATGCACCTACACATGTCCCCCGCGATGGTTAAACGCCAATGGTGATACGGAGCTCTATTGATCTTTAGCTAACCAAAGCGATCATGTGATTTAAGTTCGGATATATAAAATTATTATTGGATATATTACTATAATACCTGTACATCCGTAGGATCACCAAGTGCCTTACTTTAGAAATAGAGCAATACCAATAACAATGCAATATTTTATTTCTTTACTCTACGAAAATATCTTTTTTTAACAGATGTTTTTAATGCTATCAAAAATGTCCATATTCAAATATGTGCATGTATAATTAAAATCAACAAACATCTGCAACTCTATTAACTTCACTTCCTTTCTTTTCTCTCTCCATAGAATCCACTGCAATTTACGCGCGTACGCACTTTAGCTACCAGCTGGTTTCAGCCGTGCGCCGTAAATTGTCGTTGTTGTTATTGTTGCAATGCATCGATCATTGAAGCCACACGCACAAGCTAAAAAGGTACCACCACCTGCGCTGCCCGGAGATCCAGCACCACAACAACAGCAAATACCATTGTACCGCTTAGGTGGCAGCATTTCGAGCGCAGCTGGTAAGCAGCTGGATGATGGCATCATAATGAGTAGCATGGTATCGTCACCATCTTTGGAGGAGGGCGGTTTCAATTTGCCACGTGAGCCATCGGTAGCATTGCGCATGAAAGGTATGCATGACACATTTGCGTGAAAATAAAATGTATACACATCTACATGTGTTACATATTGTGCCAATTTCGCATTATTTACATACATACATTGTTTACAATTTCTCTTTTTGTTTCGTAGATGAAATAAGCGAATACGCCACAGCTATGTCAACGTCAGGCACATCACAATCATCGGCATCCTCAGCCGGTGCTGCTACAGCTGGCAAACAACAAACGGCTAATCAAGCAGCCGCAACTGGCGCAACACTTTTATCCACCGCAACTAATCCGCTCCTCAGCGGTTGTCCACCCACAATAGTGCCATGTCCCCCGCCTGTGTTTTGCGCCACCCTGCGCGAACCGCTCACACACAAAGCGGCCGTCTACTATCATCAACAGTTGGCGCTGCAAGAGGATCAGGGCATCGATCTGACACAATCACCAGGTCGCGATTCACCCGGTTCGTCATCGGGTTCAGCTGGTTCTGGTTCGCGACACTCCACCGCTAGCTTGGATTCGGGTCGTGCCTCATCGTATTTGACTGGGGTGTCTGGTGCATCGATACGTGGCAGTGCGGGCGGTGCACTCTCATCGCCACGTTGCAGCTCGGTGAGTTCGTGTTCGATCGGTAGCGTCGATCGGCAGCGTAACGATGAACTTATTATCGATTGGCTGATGGAGATGAAGTATGAGGAGTATGCACAATTGTTTATAGCGGCCGGTTACGATTTACCGACCATTGCACGAATGACCCCCGAAGATTTGACGGCGATTGGCATAAAAAATCCACATCATCGTGAGCGCATAAAACAGCGTATCGATAAGTTGCAAGTATTGGATAACTTGCCACACTTTGTGCCGGTAAGTCCAGTTTCTAGCAACTACATACATACATTTATATTTATTTACTATGTACCATGTAAGTAGACAAAAAGAAGAGGGAAAATACAATGAGGGGGTGCGGTTGGAGTGCTCATAGCAATTTTTTTTTTTGTTTACTTATCACACTATCCACATTTTTGTGTAGGTGTTTGTGGTGGATCAACCAGTCGCTGGATTTTATGAGCATGTGAATGGAGCGTATTAAAAATGGCAAATGATTTAATTGGAAACCACGTAGATAAATCAACACAGCAATACAATACGCTGAAAGCCAAGCTGTAAATATGATTGTAAATTGCACTATGTGAGAATGCAAAGCAGATTGAATTTCAATTCTTAAAACCTGTTTTCAATTATGTGGGTGGCAATGAGTTTTGCACGTTATTTATTTTGACCAGTGTCTGGGTAAGAGTGAGGTATAGCAAATGGAATGAAGGGTCTATTAATTATCAGCTTTCAGCAAAAGTGACAGCAATTTATTCATTCTCTACTATTTCCAGAGTAAACATTTTTTTTTTTTTAATTTTAGACAAAGGGAGTAGTGAAATAGTCAAAATGGTTTATAAATTTGATTTGTAGCTGAAAATGTGTATAATATATGCTTGTTTGAAAATGGCGTGCATACTAACCACTACACTATCGAGAAAATAGTTTATAAATTATATTAAACTAATGATATAGCTGCATTATTATCATTAAGTCGATGCTATCGATATCACTCACTATGTTATCAAGCACAAAGTGATAATAGTAGTCAATATACTAGCGAGTAGGTAAACAAATAAAACTACGAATGTCTTGACAGAATGAGGTCAGTGCGCTTTTGAGATCAATGAGCTTTGAGTTTACTACTACAAAGTGTTTTAATAAATTGAGTTATCACCAAAGCAAGTGTAAAATAGACTCATGCCATTACGGAATGGAAAACATGTTCAGTCGATGTGGTCACACAAATGGGAGGGACCTACAGTTTCTAACGACGATTGTATTTTTATGAGAAGCTGGAATAATACACTCGGAGGTTTGCATTTGCCTGCTGAGGGGCGACCGCTATTATTAAAAAAAAAAGTTTGTTTTATTTTTATCTTATTTTTTTATGTCAGTCGGAAACTGGGATTGAACCCAGGCCCTGCAATCAAGGCTGGAGTTATATGCTAACTATATATAGCTTCGATTTCAATTTAGGGATGGTACTAAGCACTATACTATCGAGGAACTGCGACCGCTACTAATCTATGTATTATTGATGCTAACTATCGAGGATTAAGGATCGATATTAATCAGTAGATCTACAATTGGCATTAACTACTCTACATACTATCTAGGAGTTAAGGCTGTTGCTATTCTTCGAGTTGGGCACAATAAGAATTAAGATAAAAGAAATAAAGATTTGCCCAGATTTATTTTCGAAACAAAAATCTCATTATGATGTTCCATCTGCTCAGGGGCGGAGTAGTTAGAGGGGCGAACTAGCACTGCATAGGACCTGGGTTCGAACCCTGGTCCGAGCAACGTATAGATTGGAAAACGTTTTTTCCAACAGCGGTCGCCCTTCGGCAGTGTACTTATGCCTTGAAAAAGCTTCTCGTAAAACCATTTGCCGTTCGGAGGCAGCTTAAAGTTGTAGGTCTCCCCATTTGTGTAATAAATAACATCAGGGCGCATACCACAAATTGGAGAATAGGCACGGCCAAACACTTCGCAAAAAGTGGAAGCGCCAAATTATTATATTAAGTATTTTTATCGTCTCCAAGGCGTTCCGTCAATTTCTATACATAAAAACCAATAGAGCCTCTAACTCAAACAGCTTTCTAAAAATTTATGTCAAAAGCAATCGGAAAACCACATGCACAAAAGTCCTATTTTATTTCTCACAAAAGTGTAAGAAATACCAATCCGCAACTGGCTATCAAGAACCTGCTCCCAAAATTGGCATATTTTTCAAAAGCCCACTCAAATGAGAAATGAACGCATGCAAGCGTCCGATAACTTGGAAGAATGTTAAGCGGCATGAAATATTTCGAGCTAACGGCTTTTGACTTGCAAAAATCGAGTCGAAATGAATTGAGTGAATGACTAGCGGTCGGTCTGCGTGTGTGGGTTGTGCGACGTCGAACAGGTTCATACGACATTATCGTTGTTACAGCGACAAAACGTTTTTTTGAGTTATTCACTTTTTACTATTCGAGGTTTATAAACAAAGTCCTACAAGCTATCGTTCACATGTGTTTTCGCACAGTCAGTGCTTACGTGACTTTCATTGCAATTCGAAGAAGAAAAAAAAAATAATGCAGTGTTCAAGCTTTCAGCTAGTGCGCAATTGAGTTATTTTCTATAGTTGACACCACATGCATTCGGTGCACAAATGCAGATGTTTGTAGAATGCTACTGATTAATTTATTTATTTTGCTTAACTATAGCACGATAACGGCCGATATAACACTTAATATTAAAATAATAAATAATCACTCGCCTGTTGGTGGAAAATTTTCTTGCTAGCAGCGCTTGTGAATTTTTGCGTTATGCCAGACGCGGCAAAACGCGGTATGTACAACATAAATGCAACGAATGGATGCCATGTCAACACTTGTGACGAACGGGCTCACATTCCACTGTTCGCATGCACCTTCCTACACAGCCAGTCAGCCAGCCAACGGCATTAACGGTGCTTATTTTTGTTTATCATTGACGTTTTCATTTAACTTACCGAGTATTTTTTGTTTGGTGCATACTTACTGCTGTAACTGCTTTCAGTTTATTTTCTATTTTTTTGTTGATTATTTTTTACGTTTTCTCTTTGCTGTTTTTGCAATCACCATAAAAAACGCCATTTAGCAGTTATTGCCTTTAATACATACATACATACATACCTACTTACAAACGCTAATTTACTCAGACACTTGCGGCGTAGTATTGTCGATGTTTTTTAAAGTTATCTCTTTTTGTTTTAAAGTGTTGTTGATATACATATCATATATCTTCTGTTTGTATTTATTTATGATTTTTTTATTTCGTTTGCATACTTGTTGTGCGCTATTGGCCTTTAGATATGCTTACAGTTGTGTTGGATGTAAAGCCATTTCATTAAGCGCGATGCACATACATACATAACGTTTTTCAATCTAACAAGTTTTCCTTCCATAGAGATATGTATGACACAGCATATGAACCTCAGTTTCTCCACACGTCAACATTAAGTAATTATATACTCCCTTGGCAAATCATTTCCAACTATGTAGTAATTTACAGTCACGTGAAAAATAATAGGGACACCACATTTTGACCAGTTTTGGCTATTTTTCTTTTGTTTGTTTAATGTTTATTATTTTTTTTTTTTGTATGAAAGTCAAGAACAACAAACATTTTATTGCGAATTTTTAGTTATTATTTTCTTCCATACAAAACTAATTGTCAATCATACTTTATTTGGAAGAAAATGCGTGACACCGTCAGCAAAAAAAAAATTTCAAAAATCAACGCGAATACATGTTGGAAGGGGTTTTTTGGTATGAGGAATCCATATTTGCACTTATCTTTTTCTTAAAACTTCCACCAGAGGGCGCAACAGTGAAAATTTTCACATTTTCTTCGATTTCCTTAAAATTACACGTACGCTTTTAATACTCGCATAGTAAAACAAAATGATCCGCCCTAATGTACTTTCATGCATGCACGAGCTAATTGTACTTATATACATATGTATGAATAAAATATACATATATACATACATATGTATGCATAAGTTTTCTAAGCCTTAGCTCCGTAATTGCCCCCTTACATGCATATATACAGAAATGTTGAGTTTTTTGGTTTGTCTTAAACAAATTAAAAATAATAGCAGCTGTAATCACTTGAATAGTCAATTAAGTTATTGTAATTTTTGTGGTCATATTCCGACAACTGGATTTCTAGCTTTAACATTAACACTATCTACATACCTAACTTTTTGCTTCATTCGCAAAGCTGGTTTCAAGTGGTTTGTAATTGTGAGCAAAATTACTTGAATTGTTCATTAGTTTTTTGCCACTTGTCTTGAGCATTGTTGGCAAATATGAGATGATTAATAAGTGATCCGGTTTAACTATTAACTTGTCAAGGTATGCAGCCACTTCGCTTACAATAGGCTGAACATTAGGCATGGTCAAGTTAAAATGTAACATTTATCTAGTTCTTTAAACGTCAATTAAAATTCAACGCCTAAGCAAAATTAATAGGACAAGTCTTATAAAAGCTGTTGGCCCAGGTCTAGTAGTGCTTAAACAAGACAAAACATAAATAGCATATTATATGCAAGTAGAAACCACACGAGATGCGAGGCCGGCTTCCCAACGCGGACACTTCCCTGACTTGGTCTGTCATGGACTTACGTCCCAACATGTTTGCCATATTCATCTGTTTAAGGCCTCACCACATCTGAAGACTGTTGCTGTTATTGATGTTGTCTATTCGGTAACCATCATCTCTTCCACGGTCTAAAGTGGCCGAAATCTTCTCCCCTAGAACCTCACATTGTCCCGCCCGTCGTCCGTATCCGTTTGTCCACCCACATCTGGAATAATTCGTCACGACATCTCTTCGCTTAGATGTTCTTGACAATTCTTTTTAATTACACATTTTCTGAAAAACTCACACCATTGAGGCCTATAGAACCGGCATAAATGGAGAAATACAATCAAAATCTTCGATATAATGAGTCTCGCAACTCCTTGGACGTTGCTTGCTGCTGCGCGCCGTTAAACGACAGCAAAAAAACCAACTAAAGTGGTAGATAGTCCCTTCCGCGCGCTTGGAACAGCGCTGGCTAGGATGTCCCCTCTTGGTGATGGACAGGTTCAAATTCAGCATACCTCTTTATTAACAATCAACTATTTACTTTCTTACCTTTCTGTCCGCGAATATTTTCGGGTGTGTTTCTTCGTAAATTTCTTGGAGAAGTAGGGTTGGTTAAACCTTATACTTAACTGATTATAGAGCTTCGT